ATCTTTATTAAAATACTTTCCAAAGTGGTTCATCGAAATCCCGTATTAAATCTCTTTCTCTATCAGTCAGGTCATATATATATATGTATATATGTACAAATATACACGTGAATACTTTACTCTGTAAAGTAACTGCAACTCCAGGGAGAAGCAGAACGTTTAAACCTGATATGGCAAAGGAAACCGAACGCACAGCCCTTGGCCCTGGCTGGGGCACAGGTAGAGCCTGCTCTGCTTTAGGATTCACTTCAGGCCCTTCACTGGGCACATGCAGAAGCCATGAAATAATTTAAGACATTTTTGGAGATACATCAGTCTTTTAAACAAAAGCTTTTCAGAGCGTGTCCTCATCAGCGAAACATCTCTCCTTGCAAAGCCTTCAAAAAGGAAAGCTCTGGTGTAAAAAGTTGATTAAAAACCCAGCTATTTTGGTATGACTTACTTCAGTGTATGGGAATCAGTTTCAGGACACCTCAGGCCTTTAGTCGGCTGAAATAACATCTGCACCTTTCTCGTTCGGATTAAAAAAAAAATAATAAATTCATCCAACTTACTGTTTGGTCAGAGGACCCCTGAGTCAAACAAGATGGGTGCCTCCGTGCTTGATTAATGATTAATTCCCTCTTCCTGGGCTCCCATTGCTGTGCGCCAGGTGCCCACGCTGGCTGGGGGGCCCTGGGGATGGCCCTCGCCCTCCCGATGGTGCCCGCGGGAACCGGGAACTGCCCGGATCCACACGGAAAGCCAGGCTGGCTCCGATGCCAGTGGCAGAACAGGGTGCAAACACTGTGGCAGTGCTCGGCCAGGGAGGACGAGAGCCAGGGTTGGGGCAGGCAGAATGATGCCACAGCCAATTTTGGACTCTCGGCACCCCATCTGCTCACCAAATTGCCACCGCAGGCGTTGCCCCAGTGCGGAGACCGGGGCCCACCGTCCACCAGCAGCTGCTGCGGTGTCTGTGAGTTCGTCACGGATGGTCTCAGCCCTTGCAGAGCTGGGGGGACGGGGACCTCCTGCCGCCCTCTCCGCAGCCCGCAGGGACGCATCCTAAAATATCTTGAAACCTTTCAGCAAGGTGAGCGTGGGAGCTTTCCTCTTGCTCTGAGCCCGCGAGGACTTGACAGTGACCAGCTTGGCCTGGGCCACCGAGGGGATCTCCTTGTAGTTGACGGTGGAGAGGGTGTTGAAGGTGCAGCTGGCCAAGCCGTGGCGGGTGGGCAGGGTGACCGGCGTGGCCACCGGCGGGCAGGGACGCTCCTCGGTGATGAAGAGCGGCCGGACAGGCAGGCTCCGCTCTGCCTGGCGCCGTACCTCTCGCACGGCTTCGTGGAAGACGTGTTGCACCCCCGCGAAGTCCTGGCATGCCGACACCTCGTAGAAGAGGCACCCGAATCTGCTCGCCAGGGACATCCCTTCGGCTGCGGGCACCTGCCTGGCGAGAGCAGAGGGGACGGGTGCAGCATCCTTTGGGGTGCTGCAACCACCCGAAAAGGGGAACGAGGGGTGCAGGCAGGGAGCAACGACCCTGCATCCCACATCTGCTTCCCGGTGAGTGGTGGGGCAGCATCCCCCTCCTGGGACAAGCAAGGGCCATGAATCCAAAAGAGTTTTGCCTTTCCCGAAATCCCAGGGCAATGGGCTGTGCAGGTCCCTGGGGAATCATGCAACCTCTCGTGCCAGGGACGCAGGGGGCTGGATGCGATGGCAGGCCATTGGG